AAAAAAAAAAAAGCCATTGGATCAGTCCCGATTGGCCAACTAGTTACGAGGGTGTGAAACAAAAAGCGTGCGTGCTGCATGTTCTATATATGCTTAACATGTTCATAAACTTCAGTCAACAAAATATAAAAATGTTAAAGAACAAAAAAAATTGCAATTTTATTATACATCAAATTTGAATTAAACCATCTGTCACTTCAACAGATACACCAAAGATTACATAAACAAAATGGGCGAAATGACTGAATCGCCCTTTTATCCTCTAAATTATGACCCTTTTGTAAGGAAAAAAAAAGAAAAAAAAAATTTCTCCCAAAATGATTTTTTTTTTTTTCAAAATCTTTAATGAGAAAAAAGGAAGAAAAATAAATAAATACAAGATCATAACAATTGATCTCCATGACCCAAAAATTAAATGTATAAACAAACTAATGTCAAATTGAAATGTGCATCAATATGGAACTGGTGTGGATAATTTACCAGCTTGATCAAGAAGATCAAGAACCTCGGCCCTACTCCTCACAATCCTATGAAACACCTCTCTAACCTGTAGCTGCAGCGGCACGAGCCCTTCTTCCATTTTACGACAGATCTCGGCCAGCTCCTCGACCTGCATTGCCACCTCGGCCAACTTCTCCTCCTCTAATGGAAATTGGAACGAGTCGGCAAAATCGACTAGGGATTGAGCCACCTTTTCCATTTTTTGCAACTCTTCAAGCAATCCAGCAGTCCCTTTCTCCTTCTTCTTCTTCCACTCCTCTCCAATTTTCTCTTGAAGCCCAATCATGGGCTGGGCCCAGCCCAACTGCTTGGGAACAACAAAATGGGTCGCAAGCCCAGTCCTCTCTTGGCATGGAATTGCTGCCACCAAAGCCCACATCACAAATACTAAAACCGTGCTCATAATATAAACCGGCATGGCCAGTCCGGTTGACTCTCCACCACGTGGCGCAGCGAGATTGGATGACATGGCCTGAATCTGTTTGGCAGCGGACCATTGTTTCGCCACGGACCAGGATAAAGACCGGAAGTTTCCGGTGGACCGGTCCTTATTGCTATTTCCAGATCCGCTGCCGCGACGGCCGAATGACCAAGCTCGTTCTGTTGACTTTCCGTGGTTATTGGTATTTGCATTTTCTTTGTCATCAAGCACCATTGAAGTGAGAAGGGTTGTGAGGGCCTTTTTGGCGCGCCGGACCTGGCCTTCGCCGATGAGATTCTGTTGCAACGCCGTGACGGCAATCTCGGCCAGCTTCTGCCAGTGGCGGACCAGCTCAACACCGTGTGTGACTGCGTTACAAATATCAAGCGCCTTCACAGAGCGATCAAGGAGGTCAGGGATGAGTTTATCGAGCGGAGTCTTCGTAAATTGGGTCGGGTCACGACCCATTACCAAAACAGCCTTGAATTCAGCCTCGCAGCAAAGATAAGTATCAAGAAGGTTACGGAACCACGAGATTGAAAGGAGCGAAGGGGTGCCACTCTCAAGTGCTGCACTAGGGGAATCGGTGGCAGCGGAGGAAGGATCATTTGAGTTACTGGCGGTGGTTGATGCGGCGGAGGGGGTGGAAAGGATGTGGGAGAATCGGTCAGCAATATGCTTTTGAAAGAATTCAAGGTCTTCGAGTTCTTGATCGTGATTTTCCATAGCCACCACCTGGTTCCGGCGGATACTTATCCGGTTGAGGAAGGAACCTTGACCGTCGGTCGTGGCCGGCATGGTTGTTTTCACCGGAATTTTTACTCTGATATTAGAGAGAGAAATTTGGGAAAATTGGTGTTGGGTAGAATAGTTCGACGATGATAAAATGGACGGTTTGGCAGTTAAATATATTGACCAAATGGGTGGTTAAGCTTAGTCGGGAACAAGACCGTTTCTTTCTCCTTGTTCGTTTCTTCTTTTTAGGGAAATAAACATATTGGCCCCCAAACTTTTACAGATATTTCTTTTTGGTCCCTAATATTGAAAACGTAACACTATAGATTCTATGTATCCAAGCTTTCATTTTTGTAGAAGCTAAAGTACTATTATTGAACAATTTTACCCTTGTCTAGGTTAGATTCATTGAAGCAAATGTACTATTATTCAATTAATCAGATAAAATTCTAATGAAAATACGGTATCTCCTCTCTTTACATAGATAAAAATAAAATTAAAAAGAAATCCTTCATATTCCTTACTCCACCCACCTGAACACACCTCATGTCCAAACGACTAGAGCTATCATCAATCATCGCCAATCATTTGAACGTGAGTTCGGAAAAAATAAATTTTTTTCCCATTAATTTTGTTTTTTATTTTATTTCTTGTCTATTTGAACATATAGGTCATATGGTATTTTTAATAAAATTTTCGCTTAAGAACTTAATTTCTACAAAAATAAAAGATGGAGAACATAAATTCTCTATTTTTTGAATAATAAGGACCAAAAGTGCAACACATGTCAAAGTTTGAAGACCCTAATGCTATATTTCCTTCTTTTTATTCCGATAGATAGAAACCTTTAATTATTTTTTTCATTTATAGAGATAGAAATGATATTTTAATATTAACAACTAGTCACGCAAATTAATTGGTGAATTAATTTATGCTAAGTCCAAAGAATTAAAAAAAAAATGTCAATTAATTGATATATCACGTCATCAGTGATTGCATTTATATTTTTTTACATATATTATTATATAAAATCTAGTCTTGTCTAATTTCTTTTCTCCCGTAATTGAACATATTTTGGGAGTAAACGATGATTATTTTTGTTGCGCTCGAACGAGATTAGTTTGCAAAAGTTGGGAAAGTCGATAAGATTATACTAATTTACTAGCTATGTTTACAACTAATTTTTATTATTTTTTTCTCTTCAAAATAATTAAATAAGACAAAAAAAAAAAATAATCCAAATGGCAAGGAAGAAAAAGTAAGCAAAAATGAAGGCGTTGAACGCGTTTTAATGTCCACTTGTAGGAAGTGTGTGGTCACGTCACATTCCTCCGCGGAGGTTTTGTGGATATTGCCAAAAAAACTAGCTTTTAGAATCAATTTATCAATATTTTTGGAGAATTGAACAAAGATTTTGTTTGACCAAGTCAAAACCACGAATTGATTAAAAAAAGTTCATGTTTTTTAAGGTTGAAAATTGTTTTTACATTAATGTACCAACTCATCGGTACTTAGGATAAGATGCGCACAGATACTCATTAGATCATATATATATATCTTCATCCAA